TTTTTTTTTTTTTTTTTTTTTTTGTGGGGAGGCAAGGAGGGATCAGGATGAGAAGACTAAAGGAGAGTCAAACTACAGCCTGATTTCAGTCTGACACCTCAGTGAAATAACTCTGAAATAGCTCTGTGTAACAATCCCTACCGAGTACCCTGGCCATAACTATAAATCAACCGTGACTGTGTGTTCATACACTTGGAAATATGTAGGTGAGAAGGGAAAATGTTTTGAAAACGCTAAACATGTTTAGATTGCCCCAAAGTTTCTGATAAAATTCCTGCATCAGAAAAGTTGTTTTAGCTTCAAAACATGCCAAAATTCCATGTCTGTTTAGATATGGGAATAAGCAAAAGCTATTGAAATAAAATGTATGAAGGTTTAGACCAGGCTGCATAGGAAAGAGAAAGATTTAACAGAGTGAAACAGCTGATAGCATTTCACTTGCAGAGAAAGAAAATGAAGAATATGTGTTATGACCAGCTTTCTTTTATTCCGTGTGATCACGTAAAACACGTAGTGAGTCGAGGTCGCAATTTGAGCGCTGTGTGCGTACATATTTAATAACTAGGTCAAAACTTCTGTTTTCATGATACTTGGATTTTTAAGATTAAAAATGGTATTTGTGTACTTCAGCCTATATAACACTTGGCTGGGTGGTTTGCTTTTTTTCTTTCCTGTACAATTAATAATGGATTACTGATTCAAGATTACAAAATTTGTATTTAATCTGGAGCTCTTTCTGAGCTGTGGTGTAAAACGACGGCGTACTGCTAAAGACACTCACACAGACAATATTCAAGAAACTCAGTTATTACTCTGGAATTTTCTTCATTCTCAAAACATTTTTATTGGTTTCCCCAGTGGCAGGCAGCCCTGTGGTATCAAAGGTGACCCAGTTATGTCTAACAACCCAGCAGTAAATGATTCAAGAGGAAGGGCATTGTACCCTTAAGTTAGTAATTTCAGTTATGGGCACTTTATAGTCAGAATAAGATTAATGCAATCCTCTAAAACTGACTTCTCCGTGTAAACTTGTTCAGCTGCCAGACACAGAGCTAGGCACAGATTTTTTTTTTTTGGTATTTTTTTGACAATGCGATACTTTGAAAAAGACTAGATTTATGATGTAGCTGGAATTCTTTACTTGTGATGAACGTAAAAGAGATCAGTTGTTACAGGGACTTTTATAACCCATTCACCTTCATTTCACATTTTTATGAGGACTGCCTTCACTTATGATATACAGCCTGTGGCCATAAAGCTCTGGGTTATATGGTTATTTCTGATACAGAGTTGCTTCATCTTGGCTCCAAACTCCACGGAAGAGTGTCATAAATGGCCTGTTTGCAGTGGGAACCTTGTTGTCACCCACCAGCTTTTCTGCTGGCCGAGGGAGGCTCTGCTCTGTAAAACCCGCTCCCAAGGCATGTTTTTTTTTTTGTATGAAGAGAAAATGGGTGATGATAAAAAGATCTTTTTATGAAAGTAATGCTGTTGCATGTGTTACCCCTGGGATTCCCAGGAAAGTTTTCCCCAGGTGTGGTGCCACTGAGGGCAGGTGATTAATGTGGCTGGTTTTTCTGATGAGTCAGGAGTATCAGTGGCAGGATCAGAGCTGCCTCTTCACCCACCATACAGGGGAGAGGGCATTTAACTGGTTGGAGAGGCAGCACAGGAGTGATGTGCCTCCTCTTGATGGAGCTGTAGTGGAGATTATTCCTAGCTGTCCTGCTGGAAAAAGAACCAATGTCTGGTGGTCTGAAAAGACTTCTCCTGGTCACCAGCTCCCAAATGAGAATTTTGCCTCTGCTGTGACTGCCCAGGGTTGAAAGACATTGGGTACCTCTTCACACCAGCTTTCCACCCTCTGATAGGAGGATAATTTTGTTCTAATTCTGGGTTGCTGCTGACAGATACTATAAAGAAAAGCTCCTACCATCCCCGCCTTGTGCTAAAGGACTTTTTACGAACCATAAAGGCATAAATCATTCTCTCCTGGCCGCCTGCTTATACCTGTGTTTGCCTGTGCTTGCGTCCAGCCTTCGTCGCGGCGGATGGGCTTGTCCTGTGCCAATTGCCACACCACGACCACCACCCTGTGGCGCAGGAACGCCGAGGGCGAGCCCGTCTGCAACGCCTGCGGCCTCTACATGAAGCTCCATGGGGTGAGTGGCTGCTTCACCAAGGGACATCCCCTGCCAGCTCTGGTGCTGCTCTGGGGAAGGACTGGTCCCCAAAAAAGGGACGAGGGAAGGGCACAGAACAACAGAAAAATGTGCGACATTAGGAAGTGGTTGTACCATTTTAGCTTGTTATGCTTTTGACTAGTTATGTGCTTGCCACTGTAGCTCTCTCAACAGATTTGTATAAATAAACCACCTCTGGATGAGCAGCCATGGTGTTTTTGCCACTGGGATTTAAACCAGCTCCTTAGTGGAGAAAAAAATCACTAGACCTTGAATGAGACAGTTTTTCATGGACAGACATAGCTATGCCAGCAAAACTTTGAGTGTAATTCCAGCCATAGCTGTGCCAGAAAAACTTTAAATGCTCTTTCAGCCTTGTTGGGCAATAGAGTAAAAAATAAGCTCTCTCCTGGATGTGATGGAGCATGTTTTGGGTGAGACCCCCTGTGGATTGTGTTACAATCAAGCATAAGTGTTTGAAGAGCAAGGGCATTAAGAATGATTAAGATGTGGTCTAGGCTTCAATAAAATGTAAATTATGTCACAGGTTTAAATATTATAATGATAGAAAACACATGAATTGCCTTTTCTCAAATTTGTGTTAAAATCTATTTTAAGCCAGTGTTTTTGTAGAGTGATTATCATTGTGATGAGCACAAAGATGATTTTTGAGCACATAAAAATATAAATTTATCCCTCTAAATACAACTTTAGATACCATAAAGCTGTATTATGGGCAGAACTGGTTATAGGAACAAAATCTAAGTCAATTCTTCTACTCTAAAGCTTCTGTCCCAAGATGTTTCCTCATGATGATCTGGTTTGCATAGCTGGTCCACAGGATGATTTTTTTTTTTCTCATATACATTCTTTCTTTCCAGAATCAGGCACTGGAGATAATTCCTAACTGTCTAGAATAATAAATCAAGGATCTGATATACCCCATCCAATTTAATTTCTTATGGCTTATTGCCAAATGATGCTGGTTTTCCCTAATTCTGTGCTGTTTTCCTGTGCATTGATTGAGGGGTTGAAAAAGCTATCAAATTTGCATAGAGAAAAAAAAGTTTCTCTGCTTTCTTAATTCAGCTACAACTCCCCTTGAATCAAACTATTGTTTTGCCCAAATAAAATGCAAAAATTTTTTTAGAATTAGTACTGTGACACAGAAAAAAATTGACTTGCTACACAGACATTTGCAACATCACATCTGGTCTTGTACTGCATTGTGATTTTTGATATTAGAGTATGTATGCAACTCTGTGATTGGTGTGGAAATTTAATTTTTTCAGGTTCCTCGGCCTCTTGCTATGAAAAAAGAAGGAATTCAGACGAGGAAGCGAAAACCTAAGAATATAAATAAATCAAAGGCATGCTCTGGTAAATATAAAATATAAGAAAGTGTAGCTGCATTAGTTTGTAGTAATTTTTGTTTTTTATTGGTTTGTTTTTTTTGGTTTTTTTGTTCTCTGTCTGGAAAATATTTCTTTTGAATACCAATTCCCAATTTTTCAGGTAACAGTACCACTGCAGTTCCTATGACTCCGACATCCACGTCTTCTACTAACTCAGATGACTGTAGCAAAACTGCTTCTCCCAGCGCACAGACCGCAGCCTCCGGGGTAAGTGTCTGTATCTGCAAGCAGGCTGATCACTGGGCAATGTTATCACAGCTTTTATCTTATCTAGCAGAACAATAATCTAAACAAACTTTCCAGTTCTGTTAGCTGATACTAGAACAAGATTTTCGGAGGATATTACCTATAGCTGTAAACAGAACGACAAGCTGAAGTACCTTGCAAACCTTCTTGATTAAGATCTGTATAATTTTTATGATTGTTAGCCACAGCTTAACCGCAGACATTTTGTTTTTAAATATTCCGGTTCTTTAATTTCAAAGGTTTTCTTTTGGACAGAAGACAATAAAACATGTTCAACTGATCCTTTCAAGAAAAAAAATGCCAAATATATGTACATATATATATATATACACACACATATTTTTATGCATTATCCCAACAGGTAAAACTCAGAAAAACATTATCCTGCTGTATGAATTGAATCATAAAGGCTTTTGTTTAAAACTAAAAGGTGTCAGTAAACGCTGATCCAAACCCAGCTGAAACCAGGCTGGAGCAGCCTGCTGATTGCAGGGCACAGGGGTTCAGCCCTCTGTCTGCAGAGGGTTCTTCAGGGGCCAGATGCTCAGCACCTGCCAGCACCAAGCTCCAGAGGAGCACCCGAGGAGCGCTGGTCATCCCCTGCTTTAATTTTGATCCTTATTTTACATCATGTACTCCAATCATCTCAAACTTCCTTCCTTCACTCAGCATGTGTGATAAATACTACTGCTAAAGTTGTGAAGCTTAATGTTTCTAACCCCTTGGCTGTACATATCCATATCCACACTAATTTCTCAGTGTTCCGTATCCCTTAATCTGCCACATAATTTCTTTGAGAAAATTTCCTAATGTGGCTTTCTTTAGTCCTTTATTAATGAAAAGAAGACATTGTTTATAATAGCTATTTTTTAGTATGTCTTGGTGTTCCCAACATCCAAATTCCTTTCAATAGTTTAATTTCAAATATACAAAGTTTCATTGTACAAGGGGAGGAAAACCCCATTTTTTAGCAAATGCGATTGTTTGTGGACTGACAGGGCCACCCAATTTCAGAGGCACTGGGTTTTGGATCCTGTGAGACGAGGATATTACTAAAAGGGCTTGTCTTTGACATGAGAAAACCCTGTCAATCCAGTAAAATAAACAGATCACGTCAAAAAAAGAGAAACACTAACTGAAAAGTGAACCGTTGCAGTTTTAGACTTCCCCCAGTGAACTACTCTGCACTGTTTTAGGCTCTCCTTTATATTTGCAAAGGAAAAAACATAGCCAAATTTTCCTTAAATTTTCCTTACACTGCCTTAAGCAGTGCCTGTGATCCTGAGTAATGTGGTGAGATTTTATGTAATGGATAGAAATGGAAGCGCAATCCCAGCCGAGACTGAGGCAGCACAGCCCTGTGCAGCTCGGGGAAGGAGAGGCCATATAGACGAGATCTCATTTCCACCGTGCTGCTGCCTTCTTGGCTGGCTAAAACCCGACTTCCTTTCTGCAGTATTTCTCCCTAGAAGGGCACATCAAACGTATTATTAATATCTTTATGCAATAATTTTTGTAGTACCATTTTTAATATGATTTTGCCAGATGGAGTTGTGTGGGTACCAGAGGAGAGTATTGTAGGCTCATGGATTGTGAGCTAAAAGACTCCTTGAGAGCTATTAGCAACTGAGAGCAACTCCCAGGAGGGACCCTGAGGCTGCTCTTAGTTACATGATGGCATCCCCAGTGACAGGACTTCAGTGCTCCCTGATTTTTCCATAGTAGATCAGACTGGGAGAGGACACCTGCACAACAGCTGGGAAAATCTGTCCCCTTATATCCAGCAGGCAGCATGGTAACATCTGCATAGCCATGATTTGATCAGATGTGCCTTGCATATGCAAAGCACTTGCAAATACCCCCTCCTGAAAAATTTCAATGAAAGGAAGTGATGGAGAGGGGCTGTGACATGCACTGAAGAGAGGAAGTTGCAGCAGCAACCACACATACGGGCATCCCTCTGACTCCTCTGTCCCAAATTATGTGAAGGGCCACTGATCTTCCACCCCTGTGCCCCAGACCCAGATGTATGGAAATGAAAAGAGGATTTGCGGGAGAGCAGTTGTCGGGATATGTTGCAGACACGGTCACATCCTTCTTTCAGGCTCCTAGCTTTGCCCAAGCATCTGTAATTAAAAGGGATGAGGACTTGGGAGACTGGAAGTTTAAAGAAGAAAGTGGTGGTGGTTAAGACTGGCTCCCGTTGTCCCAGATATAATCTGGGAACATGATCACTAGCTGCAAAGGATGCAAAATAATTTCTAAAGGGTCTAAATCCTATGGAAGGGACTGAGCGCTCATAAAGCCCATTTAAGGTGTTGTGAGTAGAGGGATGTCAGCATTTTTGAGCAAGCTAGCTTGTAACCTGATCACATGCTGAAGCAAAGATGCTCTACTAGACCTCTGTTTTCTTTGATTATTTTTTCTTTTTCCTTTTGAGTTGATCCATTGACAGATCAAAGGTTTTTAATTATTTCTAGAATAGGCAACGGCTTTGCACAGGGAGAATAAGCTTCTCCAGCTCATGTCAGGAAGGGAAAAAACAAACCCTCAGATGGATGAATCCAGGCTTTATGATCTTTTGTCACTTTTACAAGACTGTTGTTGATTCCTGACAGTGGTGTTGGTGATGTTGCCCAAAAACAAGCACCTGCTTGAATAACAAACCTGGCTCATTCCCCGTGCGTTATACAACGAGCATGGCAACTTGTTTTTGTTTTGCTCTGTTTTTGCTTCTTTAGCCTTTACTCGGTGAAAAGGGGGAAAATGCCAAATTGACATTAGGCAGAGAAATCTGATGACGTTTTAGAAACTGTTGTGTGAAATTCACAGCAATGTTGTTGCTAAATGAAACAGAGAAAACAAATTCCTCTGCTGGTACAAAAGCAATTTATTATGCCTTTAGTGGGAGGCTGCCAAAAAAGTTTCCAGTTATGTAGAAATCTAATGGAAATGAAATTCAGCAGAAATCTTGTCAGTAACATTCACTTTTCGCCCCACCTTTCTTTATCTCTTTAAAGTAAAATAAAGAAGGGAGGGCAGAAAAAGAGGAGGGCAGCAATTACTCTTGGCAATGTCTTTGAGACTATCCATTTCATGAAGGGAATCTTATATGATGCCAATTCTGAGACAAATTAGCAAGAACCTTAAATGTTGATTTTACGTTCGAGCTGAAGTTTAAACATTTAGGAGATACAATTAATGAATTGCTGTGGGGGCAAAGTTGATTTCAAACATCCCAAAATGTAGAAGTGTTTGGATCGGAGCTATTTCGTTGTCCCATTGTAAAGGGGCTATTTGCCAAATTCACATCTGGATCTAGGATTTAGGCCTATTTCTGTTTTCCTAAGCAGTCTAAGTACTGGGTGTCCTGTGTTACTAATATGGAAAGGGTCCAGCTGCATGATATATGAAGTTGCCTTATGTCCCCATAAAAAGAAGATTTGAAGGTCTCAGTCAGCCTGTATCTGCATCTATACCTGTTCTCCCTTTGATGCTGCTGAAACTGTACAGGGAAAAGCTCCACCAAATAAATTGCTAAATGAAGGGCATGGTCTGCAGTCCAAACCCATCCATTCCCATGCAGGGACTCCAACAAGAATGATAACTAGAAGGACTTTATTCCCTTATTAGGATAAAGGCAGTATGAAACCTGCTGTAAAATCTGCTTTTTATGGCAGGACATGGAGGCTCTCTGAGCCACAACTGATGTCAGAAAAAGCTCAGCAGCACCAGGGGAACTCTTCTTTCAGATGACTCTCCTGTCCTTTGCCTCCACTTCAGAGTTTTCTCAGAAAGGCCATAATCTTACACAGAAAATGTAGGAGGTAAAATTAGTGCTTACTTCCCTTGGAAGTTTATCTTCAGAAGTGGTTTAGGACTGGCTCTTCAGTTTTGTAGGGTGCGAAATGAGAGAGCTGACTGAGATGGCCTCGACATGGGGTGAACTCGCAGGAGAATGCAGTTCTAACTGTCTCCAAAATGCTGGACAAATGGGGCTGGATCAGATGAATGGATTCTCCTGCATTTGCTTTCTCTTTTTTTTCTGTCAGAAGATTAGTGAGCTGGTTAGAGGTGGTGTTGTTTGCACCTGTTTAGGCAGTAAATTCATAGGACATTCGTGCTGGATATGGGGAAATCAACCTCCACAGAGTATGTTCCAGAGTCTGGATGAGCTGGAGATTTAGCCTCTTAAAACAATATGCTAACCACCTGGATATTGGGAAGTTGAATGTCCAGGGGTCCTTCATATTATCTGATGATAATATTCCAGTTGTATGGAATAATTCTGTAGGCTCTGGGACAAGGCTCACCAGCATGGTTGGTAGGACATTCACCTGGAAAATGGGAACACAGTGCCTCAGTCCTGGTATGAGTAAATATTTATCTAAACCAGGTGGAATAAGATCAGCAGGAGCCATGAGGAACGTGGCAACCTAAAATACCAAAGAGTGTGGCAGACAGGGCAGTGTGCTGGGAGATCTGATATTCTAGAGTCTAGTTTGAATCTTTCTTGGTCTCCTACATCTTCTGCATCAGTCCTCACCCCTGGACAAAATGGGATGCTATTTTCTTCTCCCCACTCTATTTCATACACTGAGCCTTTTTGTTTTACACTGGGTCATTTTCTTTGCTCTGTGTATATGTATCCAAAAGAGAGCATTTAATTTTTATATCAAACAGAAGGAAGCAATCCAGCTTTTTCAGTGGGGAAATCCAGCTTTTTTGTTTCAGTGGGGAAAAGCAAGGAAAAAGTATTTTTCTTCTATCCCAAAATTCTGTATGCATATGGACGCATACCTTTAGCTTGGTTTTGTTTTATTGCCAAAGCAATAAAGCCAGTTACTCATACAGCCCTTGACAGCAGTGGGTCATCAGTTTTCCAAGCCATGCTGGAAGTTGCCTCCCTTAGGAAATTAATGGAGTATTAACCACAGATTTATGTTGCTATAATACAAAGGAGAGATTAGAAGACATGTAAACTTACACGTCTGCAGTATAAACAAAAGGATCAATTGGACTAGCAAGAAATGACAACTTTGTGTACTAAGAGGGTCATTACATCAGTAAAAAGAGCCGTCATTTTGCAGTGCCAAGACTTGCTCTTTGGATTCCGGGGACTGACAGCGTTGGGAAAACGCGCTCTTTGTGGGGATGGAAGTTATTACAGGGAGGCTGAGGCTGGAAAATTAAGGACTCCACCAGTTTGCCACAACACTTCATGTGTGAAAGAATCCTTTGCAAGTGTATTTTAACTGACTGCAGATATTATTTAAGTGTTGCGAAAGTAAACTAGGAGGAAGAGAGAGGGAGTCTCAGCTGAGACTCAGCCTGTTGCTGACTTAGTGTAATGTCCAAAATTCACGGAGCATTTTGAACGTGTCAAGTGGATAGAGCAAAGGTCTATCTGATAGACCAAAGGTCTAGATCAAGGCCCTTTGCCACCCCCTGCAGCTGTCCTTGCCCAGCGCATTTCCCTCTTGGCTGCGGAGGTGCGGGGGAAGGCCAGAGGGGAAAGTGTCCATCAGCTCTCCCTGCTCTCTGTGGTGGGCAGATGGTGCAGGAAGGAGTGGGTGGAAGAAAACAGGAGTCTTTCAGCCAGAGCTACTGCTGCTGTTCCCTGAGTGCTGGCCAGTGCAGCCTGAGCAGCCTGGTTTTGACCTGGAGCAGTTCTAGTGAAGGTACATTCGCCTCTTCGGTGAGGACGGCAGGTTTGGGTGTGATGTGGTTGTCTCTGTGGCTCTGGCAGAGCCCTCCTGTGTACATGGTGGGCAGGTCCTCTACAGAAAGGACACCTCTGATACAAACAACCTTCCTGAGGGCTGACTAATGACGAGCTCCTTCTGGTTTGAGTAAAAAGAAGAACCTTTGCAGATACAAACACAGCCTCCATGTTTGTTTGGGAGGCAGGCTTTTCGCAGTGGGCTTTATTCATTTTTTTCCTCTGGAAGCTGACCTTCAGTTGATTATCTATGCTATTACCAGATTTCACCAATAAAAGTAAAGGCATTATCTTTTTATAGATAGAGCCAGTAGCTGTGAATCAGACCTCATTGACTTCATCAGCATTATTCAGCTTATTTATTTCAACCGAAGAAAGTCCTCTAATAACTAGGTGCAACTTCTGTCATCTTTCATCCCTTAAAGCTGGAACAGTAAGAGCAAAGGTAGGGAGGCTCAGGAACAGAACTGTGATTCCATCACGTCCCTTTCATGAGCTAAAGTTTGTTTTCCATGTCTCACTTTGGGAGCTGCCCAAGCTGCCTGGATTTGTCATGACATTACCGGGGTGGGGTTTCCAGGGCCGGCAGTCCTGCCCGGGTCCTGCCCGTCCTGGCTCAACAGAGCCAGGATCCGGCCTTGGACAGGCAGGGATGGGCAGTCTTCAAACAGGACGTGCCTCCATGTCCTCCCTTTCGGGGTGCCCGAGGGAGGGGTACCTGATAACCCCATATGGAAACTGTGGGTCCCTGCACCCCACCTTTACAGGGCTGAATCAGGAAAAGGTGAATTACACTTTCCAAGCCCGGAAAAAACAGGTACTGATAAGATATTTGCCTACCAGAACAGCAGTGGCAAATATGGGCAAATGGGAACCTTTCAAAGCAGCTCCTAGTATTTTTAGCTCAGGTTGAGCAAACACTGCTCAACAGTAATTTAAACCTTTCTTCCACTGTGAGGAGACTGAAGCTGTTAAAAATTATGTTTTTTGTGCTAACAGAAATCTGTTTGAGGTATTAGAAATAAAGGGAAGGCTTTGAAAAGCTAGGCTGATGCAAGATCAGGACTGTACACAAAGGTTAGCATGGGACTTGCCTTACTGAATTCTCCATGCAGTCACAGGGAAAGAGGATACAGAGATTTGTTGTCACTGATTGGCAACTGTATGTTCAAGGGAGTGATAAAACTTATTTCTTAGGTTTAGAGCTGTTTCAGCTGGTTTTGGGAGACAGATAGGGTTTTTTTTTTCCTTCCTTCCTTCTCTGCATTTCTGGGTAGTGACTAATAGAGAGGGATCAGGGTTGACGACTGGGTGGAAGAATAGTGGCGGTCAATCATTTTAATAAAAGGTTAAGAAAATATTGGAGCCCAGGTTATTTCAGACAAAAATGATTGCTAGCAGTATCTCTTTCAGAAGGTGAGGTTTTTCCCTGGGTTAAATGAAGCCTTGCTTTTCCTGTGTCAGAACTGCTAGCTTGGCACAGCTCCAGGAGAGCCAAGAGCTCTACTCTTGTAAAATGATTAAATATGTATACTTCATACTTAAACAGCAGGCAGGAAGCTTCTGCAGTCACAGTTTAGGATAGCCTTTTTCTTTCTTTTTTTCTTTTATTAAGGAATTTCATCCAAAGACTATCCATTAACAAGTAAATTAAGGTTCTAAAGTTGACATATCCAAGAGTTAATTTTGCATGAAGTCAGCTCTTAAACATTTCCTTTATCAGGTGAAAATGTTGCCCCTTCTCTGTCTGGCACTGCAAATTTTTCCTCTTTAGCGGATCTGCTCAGCCTCATGGAAAAAATGATTGTTCCTTTGTCTTTTTAACTCTCCATTTCTCTGTTAAAATAAATGGAGTGGTTCCAGTGTGGTTCAGAGGTTCATCTCTGTGCCTACCAGGGCTCCCCTGCTTGTTGTCTTGTGCAGGAAGCAGAACAAAAATGCTCCAGCTTCAAAGGCATAGTGTTTCTCCACTGGAGATTAGAAGAGCATCTCTTTAGTGGCCAGTCCTACAGGGATAAAGTGGTTTTGGCTGGCGTTTTGAAGGGTCAGGAATGATTTTAAGCATTTCAAGGGCTGAAGAGCCCAAAAAAAGCTGCTTTCCAGGAGGTGCTCTGTATCTGCTCTTGGAGAATTGGGATGTATTAGTCTTCTCCCATGGGGAGGAAAAACTAGAGCTGCCACCACTCCCAGGTTGCATTTTTAGTGTTGGCACCTGTGTCTCTTCAGTAGGGGGCAGTGGGACACATGCACATTTCCTTCTTCATCATGAACTGGTTTCCAGGTTTTCTGCACATCACATGGTTTCATTTCCACCTCTCCAAACACAGACATCACTCCCATCAGCAGGGCTGGGTGCCTGGGCTCATGCTGAGACATTTTTTTGTTTCAGGATTTCAAGGCACAGGGGCAAGCAGAGGGCAAACCTTGTTTTTGGGCAGAATTCCTGTGATGATGGTTGTGCTTCAGGCCTGCTGCCCTCTCACTCACAACCCAGTGTGTGCAAAGCTCACCTGCTCAATGAGTGTCTCTTTGCTCTCCCCCTCCCTGCAGGCGAGCTCGTCGGTGATGTCTGGCCCAGGAGAGAGCACCAGTCCCGAAAGCAGCAACCTTAAGTATTCAGGTCAAGATGGGCTGTACACAGGAGTCAGCCTGACCTCCACAGCCGAAGTGACAGCATCTGTGAGACAGGATCCCTGGTGTGCCCTGGCTCTGGCGTGACCTAGTGAGAGGGAAGCTGGATCCTGGCAGCCCCCAGACATCTGCGCAGTTTCCTCTGTGGAGCGGTCGCAGTGGCAGTGAGAGTGCTGGCAAAGACCATTCCTCTGAAACAGTTTGTGAGCCTTGGTGGCAGAGGTGTTTCTCTACTTCCAAAAGTGGCTTTGCAGAAGCATCCAGTTCCTCATCTATGCAAGAAAAATGTATGGAAAGCAAATGACCACCGGGGATAGCTAATGCAGCCTCACACTCTCAAAAAACCCTTCAAACCCCTCCCACCAAAAAAAACCAAACAAAGAAAAAAAAAAAAAAAAAAAACCAAAAAAAAAAAGAAAAGAAAAAGAAAAAACAACAAGAAAAAAGAAGAGATAAACCCACACCTATTGATAGATTCCAGAAATACATCCTTGACTTACCCAGCAGTGCTGCCTTTCTCATTGTATAGTTGTTTTCACTCTCTCATCGCCTTTTCCCCTAAGAATTTGGTGGAAGTTGTCAGTGTTGGGGAGGGAGTAGCAAAGACTTTAATTACCAGAGATAGTGAGATACTTTTTAATGAGTGTCAGACGTGCTTACAGCTTGAGTTGACTCAGACTTCTCGCACCGAGCGTTTGATGTCTTCGCCCTGTCAGACCTCTCCTTCTGTGCTCTCCATCTTCAGCGTGCCTTGCTCTGCTCCTCAGAGCCCAGCAATGTCCCTGGAAGAAATCACAATGTTTGGTACAAGTCCCACAAGGTCCAGCTGGTTAAGGAGATTTTGGGATTGGTGTATTTTGGTTTAAAATATTTACTCACTTTTCAAGACTGCGATATAACTTTTAAAGTACACTGTGACTGAGATTTACGAAAGTCCGTATTTCCTGGCTGAACTGTATAGAGTCAGTCAAAATTTGTAAACAGGGTAGCAATCAGATATTTTTCTTCCATATATACAATAATTTTTTTAAAGAAGTGCAATTTGCGTTGCAGCAATCAGTGTTAAATCATTTGCATAAGATTTAACAACGGTTTTTATATGAATGAATGAATGTAAACATTTTAACTTAATGGTACGTAAATAATTTAAGAGAAAAACTGAACTAGGCATCCTTAGGCTTTTTAGAGCAACAAAAATGCATCCACTTTCTGTATTTCCAGTTTTTAAAGCAAGAGTTTCAAAGAACAAGCCTTCTCTCAGGAAAATTGCCCTAGCCATTTGCTCCGAAGTGTTGTACAAAAATGCAAATGCATCCCCAAGGGGTTTTTTTGCCATTGAATAAGTGTGTGGTGGAAAGAAACAAATTGCAATGAAATTTTACTACCTAACTGATACATATGTAAATACTACAGAAGATATCTAGGCATCTTGAAAATGTAGGATGCAATCTGTATAGTGTGACTGATGCATAGTTAGGTTGGTTTTCATTGTTTTTTTTTAAATGGGATGTCATTTGGAAAGTTGTTTCATCAGAGCTTTACAAATAAAAGGGTATCATTTTAGGAGTTGGGTTTTTTTGGTTTTGTTTTTTGGTTTTTTTTTCTGTATAGTGTGCCTTTTCCTTTATTTCCAACACAATTTTTAAGCTACATTAAAACCTATGGAAAAGTACCTGGTACAGGTGGCATTTCTGATGGCTGCAAGGAAGGTCTCCAGCTGAAGTTCCTGCTCTGTCTACCTAAGTCTGCACTGTGTGTTTTTTCTGCAACCCCCTTCACTATACCTTCTGATGATCTGTAAAACCAGGGCTTCCACCTACCAGCACAGGCTCCTCATGGGCACACGTGAGGTTTTTGTGATGAAAGTCTGGGGAACTGAGCTCATGCTCTGTGAGGACTATCATTGTTTTGCTTGCCCTTTACACCAAAGCTAAAGGGTGACACCCAGGTTCCCTGAGCAGGCAAATATCAGAATGTCAAATGTCAAACCCACTACAGGTGTAACTGCTGAGTGGCAGAAGTTTTGAGTGCCTGCTGGCATCCTCCTGTGGCCAAAGGTGAAGGGCAGCAAAACCTGAAGGCACTGCTGCTGAAAAGAGAAGACAATGAGTTTTAGCTACTAAGGGAAGTGGGAAATCTTTTGCTGGCTCTGAGGACTGGTTATCTTCATTGCTCAGTTCATTGGAGCCAGACTTATTGCCAGGTGTGATTTCCAGCCATGTCATCAGTCCTGAAAGCCAGGATGCCCAACCTCCATACCCATGGAGTGGCTGCGGTGTGTCTCTTTGTCTCTCTGTGCCAGACCCTCTTTTGGGGTGAATTGGGGTAGCTCCCTGGCCTCCAGTGAAGCTATGCTGACTTGCACCAGTCAAGGATCTGCCTCTTGGTTTTCCAAACCTGATGCCTCCTTATGCCAGAGGTGTTGTGAGGACTATGGGATGAATGCTGCCGCACAGCCCCAGGAGGAAAACTGGTCCTAGCAAAAAGGGATCTGGCTGAGCCTTGCCTGGGGTTTGGGTTGCTGTGGCCAGCCAGGAGTGGGGATCACTCGCCCTTCTTGGTGGAGTTGTCATGCCATGCTCAGTGCTGGGCCACCTCATGTCCTGGCTGCCTGTGGGTTAATGTGGCCAAGTACCCCAGCCCTGCTAGCCCTGAGGCCATGTGGGCTTGGATCTTGTGATTTACAAAAATAAATACTTAAGTGCAAATTGAGCCATGCAGAAAAACACTGAGCTTAAAAAACAAAGAGTGTCGACAAGAGTGTGGATATCTTTCCTCTTGAAGCACCCATTGTCTAAAATGCCCTTATTTGTGGTTTTACAAGTGTTGGCACCTAAATGGATAAAAAGCCCTGTTGCTAACTGGTGTTGCAGAGTGTTCAACCTTAGTTAGGGTCAGCATCCTTTCTTATATCCCTTTTGCTTTTCCATTTTTCTTCCTGGGGTGATCTTTGATGTGCCACTGCTGAAAAGCTTAGCACGTAACCCATACCTGCTGGGTGTGTCAGAGCTGCCTTGCTCAGAGTTACCATAAAACAGGAGACCAGTGTGTTCCAGTTTCAGGCTGCTGACCCAGTAGAAAATGTCATCTGGTTGCTGATGCTCTTGCTGGCAGCCTGTGGAAGGCCATGTTGCTTTGAAACCCTGTGGCACCTGTTTAGGAGGGCTCCTAGGGGGCCCAGCTCCCTTCTCAGCACCACCTTAGCCCAGGGTCTATCTTAGGGTTCCTGCAGATAATCAGTCTTGCAGAGGGCATATAAAGATGCCCTATGGGAAAATCTTCCTCTTGGAACTGAGGATTAAAATGCTTTTTTAGGTGATATCAGGAGAAAAAAAACAAACCCTAGAAACCAGCAATATTTCATAGGGAAGGTGTTTCCAATCATTTCTTATCAGAAAAAAAAAATCAAGAATGGAATGCTTTGCCTCCTTGGACCAGAAGCGGGGCTTCCAGGTTTTCAACCCTCTGTAAGAGTCAAAGGGGTGCAACACGATATTGCCTTACTTAAAATGTACTGAGGACCTCAAAGCAGGGTTCTGTGTTATGACTTTACATAGAAAAAGACTTGAGACCATACCTCCACACTTACCAAAACTGCTCTCCAAATGTACTGGATTGCTGGAGCTGCTACTCTTAGGCAAAATAAAGGTTTCTCCTTTTTTCGTAATTATTTTGCATTTTAATCCTGCTGAGCCAGCACAACTCTGAGTGTGTGAGCTGGACTTTGCTCTGGTTCTTACATTGCCGATATCACCACTCCCCATGGATGGCCTGGCCAAAAGCTTTCCTCACTTATCACCATTTCTCTGCAGTGACAGCCCTGGGCTGTGCTGTGAAAGAGCAAAGAAAGAATTTGACCATGAGTTTTGGTTACTAGTGAGGCTGAACAAGCCAAGTTGACCCCAGAGCATCTTTCTAGTACCAGAATGAAGCTTCAGAGTTAACATTTGGAGGTGGGGGGAAAATGCATACGGCCACTTATCAGGTTAGCACCTTTTGTCTGGAAAGAGTAAAAATTAAATACCGAATGTCCCAGGGCATCTGCTTCAGGTGCTAATATCAAGCAACATTAGAAGGCTCCAATTTGCTTGAGTGGCCCCTCAAGATCAGGCTGCTCCTGTCCATGTGTGTTACCCTGGCCTCCAATCTTCCCTAGGTCCTAGATCCTCTTTTTGTAGTATTCCTGACACCCTCACCCATAATCATGTTTTCTTCTGCTTAAAGTGCTTGAGATAAGATGAGGTCCCTACTGTGGCTCAGAGTGGTATTTTTCAGCATGGCAGTGAGGGCAGTGGTGTGGTATGAGTGGCTGCACCAGCTGCCAGGCTTGGGCTGGTGACTCAGAGAACCACCCCAGGCAAAGAGAACCAGCCTTGGACAGGCTGCCCGAAGGAAGTAAGGGGTGCCTGGCTTTTCCAGAACTGCAGGTGGGCTTTGTTTCCTGTGAATGATCGGAAGACAAAAAACCTGGATATGAAGTGAGGAGCCAAAGTAGCTGATTTTTGTTTTCCAGCTGCAGAGCTAGACCAAGCCATACATCAGCTTTGTAACATCTACCATATAGAACTCGGGTAATTTAGTGGCTGTTCCTGCACAAAAATAAGGTAACTTCTGCTCTTTTCAAAGAGAAGAAGGGATTTTAGGGTAACATCCTGTCCATGCTATTGTGAACCTCAGTTGAGCACAGGCTGCAGAAACCCAAAATGGGCTTTGACTCTTCCTGTATGATCACAGCTCCAGATCTTCCTTTATCCAGCTGTCATGAACTTCATTCCTCACAGATCCTCCAGTTCCTAAATCTGTATACACTGGGCATTCCAGGGTTTTGTCAAACACACTGAATTCAGTATTAGAATATAGGGCAAGGGTTGTTGCAGTGGGCCAGAGAGAAGGAAACAGAAGGCTTGAGGAGCATTTTCATGTGCCTTCTGCTCCATATGTTGCAAAAGGCTTGAGGCCTTCACTACATATTTGTAACGTGTTTTGGAAACACTTCTTAATATTTCCTCAAAGCTATCTGATGGAAGTTGGTATCATATCTAGGAGAGGGGAGTAGAATTTCACAGAATCACAGAATCATTTAGGTTGGAAAAGACCTTCAGGATCATCAAGTCCAACCTTTGATCTGTAAATTTAGGTGCCTGGGTGGACGCACAATCAAACAAGAGTTGCCAATGTTGTAGCCAAAAGTGCTAATGTACTCCTTGAACAAATAATCAGGAAAATAGTGAGTAGGAGTAAGGAGGCAATTTTGCTTTGGAATGCTGCATACAGACCTGGCATCCACATTGGAAAAGGGTGTTTAAAATTTGGCAAAGGTAGGGAAAAGAATTGCTAAAATGATTTATGAACTGAGGAAAATATCTGGTCT